ATGGATGGATGGATGGGCGGGCACAATTTTCCCACGCCAGCCCTTCTGCTTGCTTGCTCTTCTGCTGTGAGTGTTGTATGTGCTCGGACGCCCCGAACACTGCCAAGGCAGGCCGGGGCGTCGAAATGAGCTCCGTACTTGCGTGTGTATGCATCATATAGTGAGTGACACAAACAAACACACTGAGCTGTGCTGGCTGGTTGGCTTTGTATTCTATGCGTCAATAAATGTGCCGCTCATGCCTATTTGTCAAGATCTATCTACTTAAAGCGGGATTTCCACATATGAAGCCGGGGGGGCCTGGTCAGTTTTCCTAGCTGTAATGGTGCATGTCACGAGATGAGCAGCATCAGCACGTGGTCAGTGAGCCGAGATGTCTTTTAGTTTGTCTGTACACCGACTTCTTCACTTGTTGTTTTAAGAACTACCAACACGTATGCCATCTTCGCGCACGCAGACAAACACATCCAAAGCTGTGAGAGATCCCAACGCAGACACCAAGCAGAGACTTTCACTTGATGTCTCGTCGGGCGGGCTCGAGTGTGCTCAGGCACACACACAGACTGAAAAGGTGTTTTGGCCCCAAGGAAGGAAAAGAAAAAAAAACCTACAGTCACACCGCAAACGCGCGCGGCATCCATCGCACGCTCCTACACATTCCTCGGGGGGGATATAACAGGAAATTGTAGCAGGAAATGAATGATCGGTGCAGTCAGCCCCGTGCTTGTCTGCACAGTCAATGCGGAGAAACCAGGCAGGCAGGTACCCCGTGTCTCTGTGCAGACTTGTGTGAGACACATCTTGCGAGCCCAAGCAGGTGACCGGGTGAGTGAGGCTCTGCTTGGTGTGAGTGAGGCTTTTGACCGGGTGGGTTGTCATCAGCTGCATCAGCTGGGTGGACTGTCTCTGCTAAATTTGATTAAGGCGTAGGGGGTCAACTCGAAATGGGCCCGCGCCCTGCATGGACTGCCTGGGCGGTTATTTCTTTATTTCTACCATAATCAGCGAGGCGCCTGGACACCCAGCTGCCCATCATCTTTCACTTACTCGAGACGCGGCCGCGGACATTCATGTATCATGCTTGGGTGCCTTTGGGAAAGGTGATTGAAAAACACTATTTTTCCTCACCAGCCAACTCCTCCATCCATCCTCTTAATCCATCGATTTGCGTGTGCAGGTGTTGGATCTGAGTAGCGACACAGTCATACAGAGAGGATATAGATAGGGTTATTGAGATGGCAGTTGGGTATAGGGAGTGGGCGCGGGGTGAGGTACGTTCGTTAGAGCTCGCCGCTGAGGTGGCCAAGGCCCAGACCATGTTGGCAGTGGATGCTAAGGAGTGTGTGGCCATGCGCACGAGGCCAGGGAAGAGGAAGTCAGAAGAGGCGTTGCCCAGAGGACGATTTGTTGTTGACTGATTAACCAATATTTGATAGTCCTCGACAGGCAGACAGAGAGAGACGAGGTAGACGAACGGGGCTTGTACCAATTTGCGTCTCCAAAAAGTTTTTAAGCGCCGTAATAGAGGGCCGGGCCCCCACTGGCCCCCGCGAGACTGGGTCTCTGAGCCACTGGTCGAGAGGGGCCTGCTGGACTCGTCTTTGTGGTGCATGCCTCTTTCGCATAACGATGATAGTCCCCTCACACATCGGGTCCTCACACCCTTCACCATCAATCAATCAATCAGTCGATGACCGATAGTCGAATCTTTGAGGTAAGGCATTTCTATGTGATGTGTGCATTCAGAGGTGGCATTTTACCTATTCATCATGGGTCTATGCAGGACGCGTGCCGTCTTTTGAATGTGTTCATCAACCCGGCCGTCTCCAGCGCCCTGGTATGGGCGAAGAACAACATACGAGATGATATGTCTGTAATACTCAGGCGCACACGGACCCTCAGGCGTCACTGTCGCTGGAGGGTCTCAGCGACAGTGACGTCACGGCTCTGTCCCTCGTGTTCATCAAGTGAGAAAGCAAAGAGAAACTTAATTATCTGATTCAGGCGACCGCAATCACTCGCCACAATGTCTGTCCGACAGAAAAGGGCTGACAAGAGTGGCATCACTTCGATTGGTCGGATGTATCGGCAAGTGTATCGGCAAGTCCGGCGCCGCCTCGATTGCTTCCATTCTTCACGTACGCACTTCGCCCCGCCGATAGCAACTAAAAAATCTGCTGCGAGACCATTGCTCGTCATGAACGTGTTTTGTTCAGGTGCGTCCCACCTTGCGCCTGCTTGACTTGTCGCACAATGTCATCGGTGACGGAGGTGACTGTGCGTTGATCACAGCGATGGACGCATTGTGGAGAGCATTTGCCGCATGCAGGTGCTGAAGCTTTGGCTGCAGCTCTATGTGGTTCTGGTCTTGAGGAGCTGGACCTCACAAACAATGCGTACGTAAAACGGAGACATGGCGACTGTGCAGCAAAGTGTGATCGATACATGTGCCCCCAGCATCACGGATCAAGGAATTGCTGCTCTTTGCGGACGACATGGGGGGGATCAAGGCACCCCCATCGGACATCACCAGAAAGAACGTCAACTGGGTGGCATTTCCGATGTCGCATGTCCCCTCAGGTATCTTACGTACATGTGTTTCAAACTCTTGCTGTAGCTTGGCCCCTGCAGATGCCTCCGGTTGAGAGGGAATGTGCTGTCAAGAGATGGCTTGCGGTCCATCATCGAAGGGCTGCAAAGGTCAAAGAAGAGCTCAGCAGACGCAGCAAATTATATTCCTGCTACTTTTTTCTCCTGTTGGTGTCTGATGTGCCGTGCCCAGAAGAGCAGCGAGTACAACGAGCACTGCCGCTTCCTCCACGCCGCCCCTCGAGGAGCTGGAAGTGACAGTGGAAGATGGCACAGCTGATGAGGCGGCCGCGCTCTCGTCCCTCTGCGAAGCACTCAACGTTCGACTCCAGATTCATCGGCTTGAGACGGCGAAACGGCTGGACATCGAAAACGGCAGTGATCGTGCCATCACGCCGTTTTTTCCGTCTCCTCCAGTGCCCCTCAGCCCAACCATGCCCAAGGACAGAGACATGAAGCCTATGCTAGCTGATACGATGGAGAATGCGACTTCCGACAACGCCATTGCCCCCATTCTGTCCTTCAAGTCGCAGCCATCGGACTCGATCTCCAGCCGATCGATGACATTCGATCGTCAGGGCAGTGAGGGAGACATACCGCCACACATGAAGAGCAAGGACGAGGAAAGGGACAGACCGCAGTTTATCAGCTTCAAGGACGACTTGCCAGCGAGAGCTGACCGACCGCAGTCGTTCGCTGTGCCACTTGTTGTCACGCATCCATCGGATGGCTGGGCGGCCGGCGATTTCTTTCCAGACGATGAGGCATACCGGCGCCGGTCAACTCCCGACATGCGACCCGACATGCACGTGCTTGCGCCTTTGAGGACAGGCGACACGTTCCAGCTATTCGCCAGTCACCGGTCTAGCGAGCCAGACATGCCCTCGTTCAGCAAAACACCAGCACCTACGTTGGATTTGGGACATTTGGACGCCCCAATCGCTTCATCGCAGCAACTCAGGGACGCCAAGGGCATGGGGCATCGGCGAAGCAGTGCACCGCCCCCTGCCTCGCTTGCCCTGCCATCAGAGCAGCTGGCATGGGCAAGAAGGCGCAGCAGCGGCTTTCGCACCAAGGTCCACCCAGCGCAACCCGCCATCGACCAATTATCCTACTCGCAGCAGACTAACGGGGAGCCTTCTGAAGAGCTCAATCTCGCCAAATCAGAGGCGCAGCGATTTAGGACCCACCTCTCGGCGGGCAATCTGATTGGCTCGCGAGATCTGCGCCTTTGCTTCTCACCCTCGGAGGAGCGGGTTCAGCCACCAGGGCCAACACATGTTGCGAGAAAGCGGTCCTCCGTTACTGTGCCGGCCACCAGAGAAGCCGATGTGGCCCCATCCAGCCTTAGCACGCCAAAGCAAGCACGAGCACCGGCAAATGAGGTATCTCTTGATCCTGCCGGCCGGAGACACCAGCAGCCGACGCGAAGGGGCTCCACACGAGCGAGTCGGGAAGAAAGGGAAGACAACGACGACCACAGGCAGGTTCGTTGCAGTCGTGGCAGACGGACCTCCCCCAAGTCGCGTCAGATGGAAGAGGAGAAAGACACCGGCCGGAGACACAGCGATGGAGACGGCATGTTGGATCGGACCAGGGACAGGAGGAAGGATGATAGGGCGGGAAGGGGCAAGGACGCGAGAGACGGGACTGGTCACCGCAGAAAGGAGAAAGAGAAACGGGCACCATCGCCAAATGCAGCTGCAGCTGCAGCTGCAGCAGCGGCAGCGGCAGCCGTGCCTTTTCGACGCGAGGAGGACGCATCCTTTTGCACGAACTGGGAGCTGTATGAGTTCGACGACCAAGACGCACTAGACAAGAAGTACGCCAAAATGGGCGACATGAGGAAAAGCTATGTCTCGTCAGACCGGGACACTGAATTCGAGGAAGACTGGGACTCGGATGGCTTCTTTCCAATGCCACAATTCAGTCCGGCTCGCGATCGCAGAGAGGAAGAGATGGAGAGGTACCATCATGAAGATGACGAGGGGAGTTCAGACAGAGGGAATGCGCACGACCGCCGCGACGGCAACTTCTCGTCCACAGCTGATTCGGCCGCCACACACGTCAGCACAGCGGAAGCTGAAGTGGATGATGAAGGCAGCAACTCATCCAGGTCGCCGATGGGGCGGATCCGCCACTCGGACGACCATCAGACAATACAAAGCCAGGCCAGGAGAAGCCGCTGCTTCCCTAACCTGAGGCCGAAAGACTCATTTGAGTCGGCGATTGAGAGCTTGGAAGAGCATCAGGGGGCTGCTGCGGCAAGTCGGCATCGCAATGGGAGGGATCAAAGAAACCGAGGGCGGAGAGCCAGCAGACAGCCAGTGCCTTCACATGATCGCAGACGACGGTCGTCGAGTCCCCCTGCGGCAGCTGTTGCCGCAAGGGATGCGAGCGACCTGAAGCGATCGAGGAAGAGAAGGCGGCACACTGATAACCGCAGCCCTGGGACAGATCGAGGTGACTCAGATTATATGCGCAGGCACGAGAGACAGGAGGCTGGCAATTCTACGTCCCTGTCGCCTCGTCACCGATCGCAGCGAATGCGGGAGGCTGACGAGTCGAAAGGAATCAGCTTGAGACGAGAGAAGAGCAGGATGTGGTATCCACAACGGCGCGAACATGAGAACAGCCCTTACCTGCCTTCTGTACAAGTTTATCCAACGGAGCATGGCGATGTACGAGTCAAAGAGCCATCCCCTTCCTCGAAGACAGATGAGCGTCCGAGCAGACGGCGGGAGGCCTCCCCGTCAGCCCACCGCAGCGGCTACGAGCACAAGCGCCGTAGGAGAGGCCGCCAGGGTCTGACAGTCGACGTGGTGCTGCACCAGCCAGCAGTGCCACCCCTCTCCCCACCACTGCTCCATTCGTCCTCTTCCTCCCTCCTCCATGTGCTGTCGCCACACCAGCCAGCTGTGCGGTGTCCTTTGGCACCTCTTTCGGCAACAGCCAGCCCACCACCACAAGCTGTCACGACTGGCCCGGCTGAGCAACAGGGAATGGGAACGCCACTTCATCTGCCGTTCAGAGCTGAGCCTCTGCCGTCTCCAGCTGTGGACCGATTGAGCTCCTATGATCGCACCGAGGGGAGCAAGGAGAGAGAGAGGGAGCCACGGCCTCGCTGCACCATCCGTATCATCCCTTCTGACGCCCACAATGACAATGCACATCTGCCGGCGGCGGCTGCTATCCGCTCTGCCTCTGCCACATCAAGCGCATCCAGTCTCTCGCAGCGGGCAGCCAGGGGCGGCGACGAGACGGGAGAGAACAATAACAATAAGCAGGAGATGACACAACCATCAGAAACCGAGGCCCGGACACCTGTGGATTGCCTCTCGAGTCTTGTAAGCGCGCCACGCGTCCGCATGGATCCATGCATGATGTCCCCTCTTTTCTGTTCAGACCCCCCGGCAGCGTGAGGAGGTCAATCGCATCATCGAGGCCAGGATGGCGGCATGGCAGCAACAAGTACTGATGGAGTTGGCGCATCTGTCTCGCCAGCCGTCGTCGACGGCAGGCAGCCCAGACAGGTCGGCCCCGTCGGTGCATCCCTCCACCGTGTCTCCCCTGCCAGCGGGCAGTGACATGATCCTCGACACGCTGAGGGAGCGCCAGGATGCCATGGAGAGGCAGGAGCGGCAATTTGAACAGTGGAAGGGCTGCGTACTCGAGATGCAAGCGGCTATCAGGCAGCTGGCTGCCATCGCCGAGGGCATCGCTGCACGGCAGGCCGCTGAGTCGCCCCACCAGCAGCAGCCAAACAAGGTGCGTGAGCCACGATGGACGCACGCCACACGGCGGGACACACATAGAAATCGAGACAGTCGACGGGACTTCATTGCGTATGCAACAGGATGGGCTGGACCACCCAAAGGTGTCCCCCGTATCAGCAGCCGGGTCACATCAACAGGTGCATCAATCAACCACAGCAAGCACCACCCAGATAAATATTTTCCATTGCTTCGACAGGCCGTGCCGACGAAAGCCTTCCGCGACTCTCAGACGACGACACAGCCTGGCAGCTCGCCCATGGAGCGAAGCAGCTTTGGCGATGTTGGGACAAGGCCCTCCCACGACACTCACCAAACCGGCGACATCATTGCCGCCCCACACCAAGGGCCCGACGCCAAGCGGGGCATCAGAGTGCCCAAAGCGCCGCCCAGGAAGCGACTTATGCCGCCTCCCATCAAGGCAGTCAAGGCCGTTCCTGTTATGCGGAGCCGATCCGCCAGTCCGATGACGAAAGACGGGGGCAGGCGAGCCATGACTGCGGCCAATCGAGCAAAGAGCGGTCCTGTAGGTGTTCGGGGCAAAAGGCCGGAGTTGCGTCAAGAGAGGCTGACGGATGACGCGTCGTGGTCCTCTCATCCCTCCAGCAGCCCTGCTCCCTCCATCCCCACCTCCAAAGCAGCCCCAGCGGATGATCGGCGATCCCCTTACAGTCGCTACCCAGTAGCGTGCGCCATGGACCATACGTCGGTGTTGGCACCGACCCCCCCTGACCTGTTGTCCCATCAGCCGACTGGAGACAGCAGAATGGTGACGAGAGGAGGGAACTGCACATGGCCCTTAATCATATGAATCTTTTTCTGCCGTCAGCTCGAGACGTTGCTTTTGAGTCTTAGGAGCATCGACACAGACCGTGTGGGAGAGCTGGAGCAACGAATCGCGAAGCTCGAGAGACGACCGACTTCGTACGAACGCGGCCATTCGACAGCGACAGCTCCGCCCAGAGCGGTCAAGTCGCCGCCAGGCAGAGTCAAGGGCACCAAGCCGTCGCGCGTCACGACCAAACAGAGGTTGATCGCTCGAAGCTCCGCTTCGTCACAGTCCACAAAAACACAGCAGGCAGCCGGAGAGGGGAACCAGTACACTGTTGACGTCGACATAGGCTATGATGTGGACATACCCGCTGCGATACGACAGGACACCGGCTATCCAATGGCTCTTCGGCTGTCGCCTGCAAGCCACACGAGCCCACCAGATGGTGAACGGGACGGCAAGTGGCGCATGCATCGATCGTACAGAGTCACCGCAAAAGAGACACGGCCCGCAAAGGAGACACATACAAATGACCATGGCTTTCACGTGTGGAACGATATTCACACTCACGGTAAGATAAACAGAAGAGAGCATGATTGCTGAAGGAAAGAGCGCATGTCTTGTCTTTCTCTGGACGTCCTATGGCCGCTGTACCGCTATTTGGTCTGCCACAGGCGCACACCGTCGTGAAGGGAGGCATGCCCCCGGCTCTCCCCACAGCGTCCCCCTCCTCCCCCCCAGCCCGATGGACGCTACGTCTGTGATGGAGGCGACGCTCGAACATCTGCCTCTGGCAGCCATTGATGCAGGCGTGCTAGTGGATGAGATAAGCAGCATCGGTGTGGCAAGAGGGGAAGCGGTGACCAGGGACGGCAGGGTGAAGGGAGTCTCGCTAGAAGGCTTAGCGAGCGATCAAGTATGAACTGAGCAGCCAGACCTCCTCTGGTGCTGCTGCTACTTTCTTTGTGTGTGAGTTGGCTCTGTTGGTCTTGGTTGGCACGTGGTGTCTACAACGATTGGGTCACATGATTGTCCTGACCAGGTCCCATGAAACTTCACGTTGCCCTCCCCTCTTCACTCCTCTACCCCCCATCCCACCCCTCGTCTATCCATGGAAATGCACATGGACATACTTGAATGACTTCAGTGGACAGACTTGTCCCTTTGCACAGAGCAAACACTGAGCAATTCGATGGTTCAGGTATGCCCAGTGCGGAACAGAGCTGAAGGGGCCGGCAGGCCATAACGTCCCAACACGCTCCGCATCTTGGGCATCGTCACGGGAAGGCGGACATCCAAGTTGCTGCCGCTCGTCACACCTCTCGCAGCGCCTTCTGTAGTGTACACCTGACAAAACACAACAACACGACACCATCACAGCCATGACTTACATCCTCAGCAAGCATGCTGATCCAACCGCACCTCAACAAACCCCTGTCCCAGGGTCATGTATGAAGCGAAGGAATCATCTTGTCGGAAGCCGGTCATCAACACCAGCCTGAACTCAACCACTGACGTCGGGTCCGCGTTGACATCTCCCCCATCATGCTGTCCATCGACCATGATGAAGGCCCCATGCTGCTCTTTCTCAATCGGGTCTGTGATGATGGCCCGGTATCTGGAGAGAAATCGCGGGTGGATGGTGCCGAAGAGGGTGCGCTTCTCGCCCACCACCTCCTCGGCACACCACCGGTACATGACGCTGTGCAGCAGGAAGGCGGAGAAGCTGGGGTAGAGCGAGTCGTTCTCGCGTACGACCGGGTCGCTATTCTTATAGCAACTGTACACACATACACCGCGCTGTGTGTTTCCCGACTTTTTTCTTGTATTCAGCGTGTGATGTCTCGCATACCTGCGGTAACTGTGAAGGCGCGGGAGTTCGACCAGGGTGACCACACAAAATTCAATGTCCCCAACTCCCCGACCGGCTGCACCACCATCTTGCTCTTCCTGCACGAGTGTGAGGCTCCTGCCCTTGTAGATGAGACAGCCCTGAATCATCTTGAAAATGGTCATCGTGAGGGGCAGCCGGTGGAAAGCAGCCCGGGTGGGCACATGAGTGGAAATACAGTCAGCTGACAGCATAATGCGCGGCCCTTGCTGAGACAGCGCCTGAGGGATCAGCCGATAGATGGCTGCCAGACGCACAAACACACCCATCACATGCCACTCGTCACTGCCCTGCTCCAGCACATAGGCCACGCGAAACAAGTAGTCGAATGACAGAGGGGCTGTGCGGTCGATGCTGACGAGGTCGTCGAGCGAGTGGCGGGCGAGGGACGTATCGATGATCAGCACAATGAGCTCTGCAGTGATGCCTGAGCAGCATCCTTGTGACGTGGCTCTCAGGGCAGCAAGATCACACGACGACGAACCGACAAACAAAACAAAATTCCTCAGTAGCTCCGCAGGCAGACGGTGAAGCATGATGGGTGTTACGAGCCGCAGTGAGGCGGCTGGTTGATTGGTTGGTTATTGTGCTCAAAGAGTCTGTCGAGCCTTGGCGAGCTTTTGCAAAAAACCCGTGGAAAAAATTGCATCCATTGCCGACACGGTTCTCAGCACACCAGCAGCACACAGCAGACCCCCACACCTCAGGGTACCTCAGGGGCGTCCAGGACGAGCGAAAAAAACGGTGAAAACAGCACCAGAAGCGGGGAACACACCAAGACAAACAGAGAGGGAACCAAAGGGACACTGCAGAAGGCACGCAGGAGGCCACACACCAGCGAAAGAAACCCATTCGGGACTCGCGAGCTTTTAGCGAGCGAGGCACGCTCTTACCCGAAGTTCGTGTTCGTTCGTTCGTTCGTAATTGGGGCCATCGAGACTCTTTCATTCGGTACCGTCTTTCTTGATGGGGGCTTGCATGCGAGCTTGGGGGCTTTGCATGCATTTCGCGACGCGGCCGCCGGAACGCGGAGCGAGTCCCGACCCCCCGACGGAGGAGGGCAACTCATAGAGCACGCTTGGCGCAAGAAGGGCAAAAGAAACGGCGAAAAACGCACGCAGAAAGACACTGCCACACATCTGCCCCACAAAGCGCACAAAAAAGGTTGCTTTGAAACAGCTATTGCAGGCGGAGGCAGAAAGCAACGGTGAGAAAGGGCACTACGAAGTCGTCTCTCCGACTTCTCCCGCCCTCTCCATAGTGATCTGGCGTCTCTCCACTGCATTCCTTCACATCGTTGCAGCCCTCTCTGCTCTTGTGTCGTCTCTCCACCACATCGTCTCTCCACTACACATACAGGCTAGTGTTTAAAGGACGCCCCTAAGCCTTTTGTCCTTTTTCTTCTTTTTTCGACGTCTTTTTTTTCGCACACGCGGCCACACACCCAATATACACCGTCAAAAAGTCGATGGAAAAAAGGCTTCCCATTCTCCACCTATCTGTCAGAAGTGCCTGAGGACCGACGGTATAAGTACCGTGTCTCTGCACTGCCTGTGCACCATGTGCGTAAGGTGCCGCTGCAGCAGAGGCGACGGAACGGGGCAGCGCGGACTACTCAGCTTGTAAATGGCCTCGATAGTACCAAGCAGGCCCAAAGGCACAGCGAACACGAGGAAGAGGATCGAACATATCTTGAAGGCCCGTCCTCCCTGCCGGGCCCAATTGGCCCTCAAGTATAGGCCACTGGGAAGAACGAACGCGATCGTCATGGCCACTGTAGAACCTACACAGACCCGTCACAATCAATGGGCAGCTCGTGTGGTGGTTGACTTTCAGGCACCGCTCCCCCTCACCTCCTAGCGTTAAGATCGAGCTGAGAGATCTCACGTAGATGGACACAAGAGTCGCCGTCCCCGCGTACAAAACTGTGCCAATGACGTAATGTACCCAACCAACCTTATCTAACACGTCAATCGTCCCACCCCGCTCCAGCGACAATCGCCGGGCTTCTCTGTCCGGCGACTCTCCATCAGGCTCTGGCGACCCCTCTTGTTGCAGATCTGTCTGCTCCATAATGTCAACCGTCATCGCGCCGTCTTCCCCGTCGCTGCTTCTGCCCTTCCCTGCAATCATCGGCTGTCTCAAGAGCTCAGGCGGGCTGCCGGTGCTCGAAAGGGTGTCGGTCTGCTGGTTGTGGTGATGCGCTGAGTCGTTTTGTTGGCTAAAGGTGGCCAGAGCGCGGGGTGAGAGAATGGAGGGGCACCAGCACGCTAGGGATGACGGTAGGTGGTGTATGACATAGAAGAGGGCTCGCCTTCCCGGCATCAGCTGCAATGGCATACACCCTAGAGAGATGAAGGCCAGACAGACCCGCAACATTATCGCTAGACTGTCATCCCTGCGGGAACATATCAGAGCGTTGTTCTGTCGCCGTGCGGCAGGGCTGGCCTACCTTCGAAAGTTGAGCAACACATTGCCGCATGTGCGTTCGATGGCATACAGATAGCCAAAGGAGCCCACGATGAGGTAGATCACCATGACGATGGAGAGGCTCGAGTGAATGACGCGTTTCACCCTGTTGCGCGTCGGCACTGCAGCAACGGGAAGGGGGGGG